GGGTACAGCTGGCTCTGCCTCTAGATAGGCAGAGCCAGCTGTCACTCACGCAGCTGGGCGGATACAGACAGTAATGTCCCGGCTGCGGCGTCTCAGTATACCGCGAGCTGTAGCTCCCTATATACTGAGCTTAGGGTGATGGGAGGACGCTAGTTTGTGTCCTCCCGTTACCCCAAGGAGAACTATGGGGAAAACACTGACCCCATAGTTCTCCTTTAACCTCTCCCTGCAGCGAGGCCTGTGCTTCAGTATTGTTGCCATAGCCTGTATCCTGTTCCCCCCTTGTACCCTGACTTGGACCTGACTCCTAGGGTTGCCACCTGTCCAGGATTCACCCGGACAGTTCGGTTTTGAATGCTGTGTCCGGGTTTCATGGCACCAGTAACCCGGACACAAGTTGTCAGGCAGACGGGGGCAACCTAAATTAAGATAAGGGCTACTGGCCCCCCCACTGAAAATTAGTCTCAACTGTGTTATTTACATATTAATGGGTGGTGCCCCCATTACATATGAATAAGCCACGCCTCATTCTCCCCCAAAAATATGTCCGTGTGTCGCTAGAGTGTTCGGGTTCCACTTGAAGAAAAGGTGGCAACCCTACTGACTCCTGAACCCTTACCCCTGAGGTCTCTTGATCAGTGGCTCCCTCCCTGTTGTCCGGCTCCCCAGGGGTTGCCCTGTTGTCTCCGGGGGTGTAATTGTTACTTATATTTTTTACATGTTACTTGCGGGTGGGACGTGTTTTATGGTTGTGGTGCTTTGGTGCAGCTGATAAATTATAGTTTGTAAGCATTTGTGGTCACGTATTGGTCCTCTTGTATAGAATACCTGCACGTGGTGTGGGGACACCCGTGCACGGTATTGTGATAGCCACCCTAGGCACCGGCCCACAATTGCCATTCATATTATGGTTCCGTCCATTGTCAGTCTTGCCATTGCCAGCATTCAGTAGCGGGCTCAATCAGCGCAATCTAACATCGGCCCCCCCGAGGCCCTTCAACAAATCCAGCCTTTGAAACAAACACCACAATTGCCAGTTTCCCAATCTCGCCACCAGTCCTCACTGGTACCTGTCACTGTATATTGGTTGGTATATCAGTGTAAGTCTTCCGTACATATTGCATTTTTTTTATATACATTACATAACTTTACCACATTTTCATTTTCAATCTTTCAGGCGCTCCAGCGGGGACGATAGAAGGTCATGAAAATGTGAGTGTTGGGAAAACGTGGTTGGTGGGGCCGAACGGTAAACATAGAAAGGGGGGAGGGGTATTCCTGGAGAACAAAGCCTATGTGTATATTCCTGTTCAATTAAAATGGACTTGGTCATCAAGATTTATATAGCAGACCCGAATCTTCCATAAAAAAATGAAAACCAACCCTGCAGCCCCCGCATTCCCTCGGGGGAGGAGGGGGCATTGCCGAACCCTGCCTTGGGGCGGCAGAGAGGGTAAATCCGGTCCTGACAGCAAGCCTACTTATCTCTCAGCTTGCTGTCCTGGAAGATTCTTAGAAATACCGTTACCGGTAAGACTAACTGTAGATATTTTAGGCCGCGCACATTCCCAGCAACCGCTGCAAACATGAATTTTGCGTAAACCGTCTTTAGCTGATTTGTAATCTTTGTCTTTGTTTAACGGTTTGGTGTTTTTATTTGTTAGAATGTCGCCTACGCCGCTGTGAAGTCCAAATCAAGAAGGAAACCGGCCGCTGACCCCGACAGCATCTACCAGAACATGTAATCCTGAGGGCCTCTGCACTGGGTCCCATGTACAAAACTACCGGGTTACCCCAAAAATAAGATACTGTCTTATTATTTTTAATGTGCAACACAATGTACAACAATCTAAAGTTATCCGGTGTCACTCCGCCTGTCACAGTAGCCGGCGCTATAGAGGAAGTATCGGCTAATGCGGCTCTGCTCCCTCCCCCGCCGCAGCCGGGGCTGGATTTCCCACAAGGCCAACCAAGGCCCGGCCTCGGGGCAACACGTAGTAGAGGGGCAGCAGGGAGTAGAGGGGCAGCAGGGAGCAGAGGGGCAGCAGAGGTGTGGAATTCCTATCTCCCGATGCCTGGGACATGCAGTTCCGGGGGCCGGGCGGGTAGTTGTTTTCTAAATTTAGCCCGGCTTTGGGCAAGCAGAGCTCAATGTGCAGCGGGGAAGCAGCCGCTTGTTTTGTACAAATGATGTCACCGAGATCACTTGTATGCAGCCTGCAGGCCTGCCATGGGAAGGGGGAAGGGGGTAGGGCGGCGCATTGAGGGACCTGGCCTTGGGGCAGCAGAGAGAGTAAATCCGGCCCTGGCCGCAGCCTTGCTCTCTACAGCGCCGGCTTCCTTTGCCCTAGATGATGAGATCACCTCTGAACAAACCTCCCAACGTTCCGAGATGGGAAAGGGGGACACACACCTTCTAGCACAATGTATTTCGGCAGTAGACACATCCATGCCATGCCCCCAACCATGCAGACAATTAACAATTTATATGCCAAAAATGATTGGTTCAACCAGGGGTGTAACTAGAAATCACAGGGCCCCGTAGCAAAATTTTGTAGGGGGCCCCGTGATTTCTAGTTATGCCCCTTGCAGAGCCCACCTGATATACCAAACAGCCCACCTGAGAGTGACCCTGCCATAGACTCTCTATGGTGGGCTCTGCAGGGTCTCAGATGGCAAGCCTCTTACATCTCCGCCACCGTG